TAATTATTTTATACGTCATCAGCATACCTGTATGGCAACCGCGTGAGGTGATCAGGCGACAAAGCATACCAGTCAGTCATGACCGAGGGGCGCAATTGTTATTTAACTAACACGAACACGAAATAAACAAAACTGTTTCACAGCCGACGTCATCTGTATTGTTAAACGGAGTGTTCCTCATTTGTATGGAGTTTTGAATTGAAACAGCCATCTTTAAGACCATTCAGCGCAGTTCACAGCCCTGCCCCCCCCCCCCCCCTTAAGACCTAACACGCTCCAGTTTATGAGCCACACGCCCGCGGAGACGTGCAGACCATTTCGGGGAGAGTACTTTAAGTCACCCAAGTATCCACGACGCTATGAACACGTAATTCGAATCGTGCCATTTCATTCGCCATGCGACGATCAAGGCCAATAAAATACTGTTGTCGAGTCGTTCATATCTGGCGTTGGTGACCACGATTTCCAGATATATTGGCCGCCAATTGGCCTTCAATCAATGTCGTGCGAGGTACAATGACGTAATCAAACAGTGGTGTATGGAGGAGCATATTTACGAAACAGAGAAAATGCGTTGTTTAAAGCAGCTTTTTCCACTTTAAAGTATTCCAGTAGTCACAAGCGAGCGTATTTAATCATATCTGATACTTGTTTCAATATTTTGACATGTGTAACATACCCTCTGAGTCAATATTTTTGTCAATCCCGAAGCAACATCCGAACCATAGTGTGGGAACGATTGCTAACCGGGGCAGCCACCACTGGGATCGGCGGCGTCCCGACCTCAATAACTCTGTCAGAACTGGACTATTCCCGTATCTGGCCTTATAGAATGTTACAAAAACAGCCACAGTAAAAGTTAAGGCGTGGTCACATTCATGGTCATGAGCAAGTGATATGAAATTTGGAGCCCCAAAAATCACAAACGACGACAGCCGGCTTCTTCATCCCCTTGCGTTCACGTTTCTCTGGGCCCCGCGCTTTTTCTTCTCCAATTTTCTCTCCAAACCAATTTACAATTTGGCGGAACGGCTGCGACGTCGCCGCCCGCGGAAAGGGAGGGACATTGCAGACGGGGCAGGGCGGCCGGACACTGGTCGGCGGTCTCCCGCCGGCCGCGCCCGCCGCCGGTCGAAGCGGGCCGACCGGCGGTGGCGGTGCGTGAGCCGACTGAAATGTTTGCCGACTCCGCCGGGACCGAATATGGAATAAAAACCGGCCGGCCGGCACTGGCGCCGCCCGATGACCACCCGGGGATTCGGAGCGTCTGCCGGGCCCGCCCACGTCCTCGGCGCCCCGCGGCCGACGGAAAACAATCCGCCGGCTGGGACCGAGCTGCCGTCGATTGAAGTGGCCGACGGGGGCGCCGCGCCGGTCGGCGGGGGCTCCTCGCTGAAGGTGCGGCGCGACCACGACGCGCGTCGGGGATGCCGCCCCCGGTGTGCCGCCTATCGACCGCCACCGACGAGCGCCGATCATCGGCTGCCGGCCGTCGGGCCGACGACGGGCCCGGGCCGGCTTTGCTGACCCAGCAGCGACTGGGACGGCCTCCTTCTCTCGGCGCCCCGCCTCGCCGCTGACCTGACCTGCGTGCCGGCGGACCGGCATCGGAGCCGCCCGAGTTGCCGCCGAGAACCGATGACAGCCTCAGCGGCGCTGACAACAGGGCGTCACGAAACGGCCTACGGCTGGCATTGCAAAACGGCTGGCGCCACGGAACCGCTGGTGACGTAGACCATAGACACGGTAGGTGTGACGCACTGAAGCTACTATGGTCACGAACAGACGCACAGACTGCGGTCTCCGACCGGCTAATTTACTTGAGTTGTAGACGGAATGATTGGCCGAAGCCACCGAGTGACCGGAGGAGCGCAGTCAAGAAGTTGCACACAGCCTGCTAGTGGATTGGCCGTGAGAGCTCCACGACTTGTCTCAACACACGACGCTTCGCCTCGGCCGCCGTGATTCGCCGGCGGCGCCCGGTGGAGCATAAGGAAATGTACCGGGGAGCGACAGGCAGATTGAAAAAGAAACAAGCAAAGAAAAGGCAAAACGTGTGGTCATTTCATAATGTGGTGTCATTCTACAGTGTTCGTTGTATTGTCCGACCTTCCACGGTCAGACAAGTGTCGCGAGCGTTGTGGTACACACCTAGCCTTGCAAAGAGTAGCACTGACCCACTCATGTCGGCCACTCAGGGTTGGGGGTATTTGCCGAGTAATGCTACAACACGCGCAATGCCCCAACATGACCCCCTCCTCCATGTGTAGAGGACGGGGCAATGTACGTCTCCACATCTCCTCCCATCTCATATTAGCCATGTAGTGGCGCATGGAACGAATATCTAAGAAGATATCCCCCTCCCCCCGTCCCCCACTCACACACTTCTTTGGACGCCTTCTGCAGCTGTTTCCGAGTTCTCCATCACAATCCACCCTTATTGTGGAACGTGTGAAGCGAGCGCAAGGAGGCACGCCTGAGTTCCACATCCAGACCTCCAAGCCCACAACCGAGCTTTCAACGCGGTTCGCTGCTGCCTTGGCTCCGTTAAGACGAGGCCTTACATGGTGTATCAAGGCCCCTGGAATACAGGCTCAGCGTCTGGGGCGCGTCAAACGATCGGGCTGTTTGCAGAACGTTAGACTCGTGTACCAACCCGCTTAAGCTCAAGCTACTCGAGCCCCAGTCTGAGGGAAGATCAAAGCAATGGAGGGTAATTTGTTCGCTCATCTTCACCCCAGCTCCAAAGTCAGCGGGCTGCGAAGGCTCCTCTGGTTCACTATATGTTTCGCCAGCACATCGCCAAAATGAGACCATCACAGCGTGGTGCCGACATGTTCTCATCAGAACATAGCAACACGTCCAAAATAACGCAGCGTGCGGTCAATGTGGGCATCAAATGGGGCTTCTACAAGCGTGCTTTTTTTTCTCGGCTCCGCCCGGGGCTGGAAGCCGAACAGAACCAGCAATTCAGTCCAAGGTCAGCAGCGTTTCTGTGCCGATTTTCCAAGTTCCATCACATCTGCATACCTGATCACAAATATCCCACCACCAACCACCGTCAGCGTAAACTTCCCGCGTCTCTGGAAAAGTCTCGCACGGTAATCGTCGACAGAACTTCCGCCCTCGGATTTTGTCCTAGATTTGGTGGTTCAGCGACAGATGGCTTTGGGAGCTGATTTGGGTGCTGTCAAGCCCGCCTCCGCAGACCGATGGAAGTGCGTTAAACAAACGCTGGATGAATAGAATCGGAACGATGGAAGGGAGCGGGCGGCTGGATGACAGACCACAAGGAAAAGGCGTGAAATTGAAGACAGATGGTGACTAAATGGAGGATAGAAAACGGACGGCAGAGGGCGCTTCCTATCGTGGTCGCCGGTTAGCCGAGGACCGAGTCAGAAATAGTCTGTGATATTCCCTTTCCTAGCTTCAGCAAAAACATAATAGCATGTTTGAAGTATATGACGTAGAACAAAACAACAAGACCGGAGTGAGAAAACTGCTCACATTGCACGTGACTGTCTACCTTAAATTGGGACATAAATTATGGAACATTGCATTCACATGCGTGACACGAATTGTTGACCGCTGGGCAAACACGCTGAGCGTGGCTATTGACTGCTGGGCAACACGCTGGGTGTGACTGTTGACCGCTGGGCAGACACGCTGCGGATGACTGTTGACCGCTGGGCAGGCACGCTGAGGGTGCCTGTTGACCGCTGGGCAGACACGCTGAGCGTGGCTTTGACCGCTAGGCAGACACGCTTAGCGTGGCTGTTGACCACCGGGCAGACACGCTTAGCGTGGTTGTTGACCACCGGGCAGACACGTTGGGGGTGGCTGTTGGCTGCTGGGCAGACACGCTTAGCGTGGCTGTTGACCACTGGACAGACACGCTGGGGGTGGCTGTTGGTCGCTGGGCAGACACGCTTGGCGTGGCTGTTGGTCGCTGGGCAGACACGCTTGGCGTGGCTGTTGACCACTGGGCAGACACGCTGGGGGTGGCTGTTGGTCGCTGGGCAGACACACTTGGCGTGGCTGTTGGCCGCTGGGCAAACACGCTGGGCGATGCTGTTGGCGGCTGGACAGACACGCTGGGCGTATTGGCTGACTTCCGCCCATGACTTGGCATCTCCCCAGTCCACCGCTCCGAACTGAGTCAGTGTGGTGTTCCCCCACTGGCTCAATCTCCAGGATAAAGCTGACCAGCGGGGCAGGTCGACAGACTCGGACGCGAAAGGGCGTTTTGCTCGGCTCTCGGGACCACGCAAAACGCATCTCCTGTTATGGGGGAGGGGCAGACCGGATCTGCCGCGCTGGGTTTGCGGTGATCTCGGAAAAGGCGGGACAGATATGCGGTAGTAAACTGTCTTGTCTCCAGAAGATGCGGGTGAGCTAATCAAGACTTCCCTGTGCCGACGGATTTCAATCACGTTAAATATGCAAACAACACGAAACGTCCGCGATGTTTCCGTGCTCTTCGCTGATTGTGGAACTTAATCGCGATGCAACAAAATACGAGATCTTATCAGCTTTGCTGGTGAGAGCTCGGCCGCGTGATTGGTGCTCACGACTTGGTCCCGTGGCAACGGTGACACAAAGCACCACTCGCGGTCTTCTCCACAACGTGCGTTTTTGCTGTGCTAGTGAGAAAATGAATGAAGCAGAACACCAAGCTACGAGGCAGCCAAACCGCGGGCTGAAGGATGACGACCTGGCTAAGAAGTGTGAGGAACGAGCTTCGTGGTCCAGTATCAATTTTCCAACGCAAATAAACGGCGCCCACCAGCGGCGCAACAGCCGCCGGCGGCGCCTCTCCGCATAATGGCCGGGTAACGTTCGCCAGTTCTGAGCTACACCAGTGAACCTCCGCCGCCGGTGAGCTGCAGCGGGCGACTGCGCAGTGAATGATGGCCAGTGAGGCTCTGCATGGCCTCACCAGCTGGTCAAATGGGCCTCCGCGGTGGCAAGCGCGGGCCACTGCTCGCGTCAACACGGAGCCGGCTTCTAATACATGTATTAAACGAAATCACAGCTAATGGGTGTCCGGAGGGCTACAAAAATAATATGTATATATACACCGTCAGGAACAAACCCGGACACGCAAACCAAAGCACAAGCAGGCCTAGACGCTGACCATGATTTGCGATGTCCTGCCAAGAAAACCGGTGACAATACCAAGCAGTACGGTGCTATGCAGACCACCGCCACCTTTTCGTGGCCTTTTGACCAGCTCCAGTTCAGATTTACGCGACCACTGGCCTCAGGGAGGCGCCGAAGAAACCCAGCCAGCGGCAATCGGTACATAATCGCCATGGGCTGTATAGTGCTGGAACGTCCGCGCGGGGTCCGAGCGGCGTGGGCGTACGGCGTGCAGGCCTCGAAGCTGTGTCGCCGGCCTGGCTGCCACAGCGTGACTCGATGCCTGTCATACACCAGTGCGGCCACACAAAACCGGCCTGATAGCAAATCAGCAGACGAGCCATAGATCCCAGTGTTCACGGCACGTCTGTAAACGCCAGGTGGGCCGGCCAAACTACCAAGAGCACGCCACACAGCTAAGTTATGTCTACGTTACGGGTGAGACCCCCTCCCCGCTGAAGTCCCGCACTCTGACCGCTGACCAAGCTAGGCACGACGAGCCTACACAGGTGGCCTTCAGCAGGAGTCGGTGCCTGCTACCGCTCATACTGAGAGACGGGATGCCACGCCGCTTCAAGAGCAGCCGTTACCTGCCCTAGGCTCCAAAACCCGGCTCTCCAGAGAAGAGGTCCAACATATCCCCCGCACAGGGACTCCACATATGCCCCCCCACACGGGGACTCAACACATGCCCCTCACGCGGGGAGTCCACACATGTCTCACAAGTGGACTCACAAACGTCCCGCACGCGAAGAATCTGCATATGTCCCGCATAAAATGAATCCACAAGTCATGCCCACGGGGAGTCCACATATGTCCATCACACGGGGGACCCATACAGTTCCTCACACGAGACGCCAGCTCATGTCGACTGCAAGAAGAGCCCCGCACTTCCCCGCCACACACACGGAGCTGGGACACCGCATCTCACAGCGCGGGTCGGCGCACGCCAGCCCCGCACGAGGCGGCACCGACACAGCACACCCCGCGGGGGACATCCGGCAGCGCCAGCGCTTCACTGAAGAACCAGTACAAGTGCCGGCGTCGTCCTCCACACCCAGCGCCGCGCAGCGCGCTACTGGCCTCCCGCGTCCCGCCCGCTCACGACAGGTAGGTGCGCACGGTGCCGCGAATCGGCTGCCGACAGAGCGGGCAGTCGCGCAGCGCCGGCGCGCAGTTGACGCACGTGATGAGGTGGCCGCAGGGCAGGAACACCACGCCCACGTCCTCGTCCATGCACACCTTGCACTGCTTCTGCTCTTTCAGTCGGATGAACTCCTCCTCCAGCGAGCTGGGCGTCGTGGCCGACGGCGTCGACACTGCGGGCGCGCGGCTCCGTCAGTGCGGGGTGGTCAGGGCGGGGGACGGGGTCAGAGCGGGATACGTGTCAGCGCGGGGGAGGGGTCAGAGCGGAGGAGAGGGGGTGAGTAAGGGGGAGGGGTCAGAGCGGAGGAGAGGGGGTGAGTAAGGGGGAGGGGTCAGAGCGGAGGAGAGGGGGTGAGTAAGGGGGAGGGGTCAGTGTGAGGGAAGGGAGCAGAGCGGGGAGGTCAGTGTGCAGGGCCGGCGTTGCACAGGGGGCTAGCACGGCAGGACAGCACACCAGATTGTGCTCAGCTGTTGCCGAGTGAGACCGACACGCTATCCATACGCCAGGCAGTATAGAATGCGGCTATTTGAGCCACTAGCATGCTTCATAAATGCACTTAAAAAATGTGTACTTACAGCTTGCGGGACAGAGTAAGGCAGTGGCAGAAAACGTAAGGTGACTAAATCGTGCCAACGACATACACATAAACAGACATCCCTCTATTCCACGCACCGCAGGGCCACAAATTACCGCTGAAATATCACCATCTTACACAACCCACGAAGGCCGCGAGCCCTCCCCACCCCCAGCGCGCACGTGACGCAAGTGCGTGTGGGACGGCACTCAGTGTGCTGGCGAGCCCGCACCTGAGGCCGGCGACAGGAGCCGGGGCGTCTCGCCGCCGCTGCCGCCGTTGTTGGTCACGGTCGACTGGCTGGACTCGCTGCTGGCCTCGCTGACCTGACTCGTCAGTGCCCCGCTCATCGGCGTCGCGGCGTCCGCGGGGCTGTCGGAGAGAACGCTCGTGTTACTGTCGTCACGTCCTGGGCAGGGCAGCACGACAATCGCCGTCGCAGACTTCTCACGCCGCACGCCACTGTACGAGATTCAGTTCTTCCACAAGACTCACGTACCGGAACACTGACACCCACGACAGTTCGACACTAATCGTAAAATGCGTACAATGTCAGTTTCCAGGTCAAAGTGCACAATGCGCAGCCATCCACGGTTTTTTCCGGGGTCAGATTCTGACCCACTGGTTGGCCACACCGCTGCTACCATCTACATCAGTTCTGTCGCGTCAAGAGTGCATGGCGGGGCGGCAACTGTGCTCAGGGCCATCTAGCGGGTGATGCCACAACTGCTGATGTCGGCGCCAGATGGCCTTGCGCCGACTCCAGAGGCCTCGGCAATGGAACTATGAGAACCTGGGAAACGATGTGATGTCCACCGCTGCAGCACCAGGTGCCACCACCTACCCCTCGTTCGTCGCTTCCATGTCCTCGTCCTCGGGCCGGACGTCACCCATGCCGGAGTCGCCGCCGCTGGAGGCCGCCGACAGGGTGGAGGCCGCACGCCCATGGCTCGGTCCCGCCGCCCCTGGACAGCTGCCGGACGGCACGACACGTCAGCCGGCTCCGCGCAACACAGTCCCACACGCGTCCGCCCAGACGGGCACACCACACCGCCTCGGACAGGGGTCCCATCGCGCGGCCGGACACCACCGCCGCACTGCCAGCGCACCGTTGTGCGCTTAGCTGGGCGGCACGAGCTCGGTTGACATCGCGTCGCCGTCGCCGCCTCGGCGCCGCGGGGACGCGTCAGCCGGCGCCAGTCTGTCGCCCGAGCCGGCCGCCGGCCGACCGCAGGCGGGGAAGATCATCAGGTGGAGCTCCGCGAATGACGAACACCAAGAGGCATTCGTGGTGCCTGATGAGCCGATTGCATTGAAAAACGATGTCGTCATTTTTGCGACCTTGTCCTTCTTAAGGCTTAAGTAGATAAACTACAGATGACAACTGCACGTATCGCCGGGCGTCGTTTCCTTGTGGTATCTTTTTGCAAACGAAAATGAGGAAAAGTTTTGCCACCCTTGGGGTGAGCAAAAGAATGGCCATCCGAGAACGACCAGTATAATCGAACGATCTTGTCCAATTCCGGAAAGCTAATCCACTGAATCATTGCACCACCTGGTTTTACCATCCACGTGCGTGTGTGTGTGCGTGTGTGTGTGGAGGGACCAGCTGCCGCGCCGGCATGGCCTGTCCACCGCTGTCCGGCCGGCGGTCTGTCTGCCACTGTCCGGCCGGCGGCCCGCCGTGCGCGGTGGACGTCCGGCTCGGCGACGGGTGCGAGCTGCTCCTCCGCTGGAGTCAGCTGGCGCCGCGGCCCGCCGGCCGGTCTGACTGACCGGCGCACAGCGTCCGATCATCCCCAACCCCGGCGGGCATGCCATCGCTAACCCTCCGGCACCACCACCCGACCCCGGCCGTCCCTACCCAACCCCGCGGCGTCACACCCGACCTCGGCTCATCGCCCACACAGCGCTCCGACTACCCACCCCTCCGGCACACCACCACCCGCCCCCGGCGGCGTCCACTACCCAACCCCGGCGGCGTCCGACTACCCACCCCCGGCGTTCACCACCCACCCCGGCCGGCGCATCACCCCCAACCCCGGCGGCGTCCGACTACCGACCCCTCCGGCACCACCACCCACCCGGCGGCGGCGTCCACTACCTACCCACCCCCGGCGGCGTCCGACTACCCAACCCCGGCGGCGTCACCACCCGACCCCGGCGGCGTCACCACCCAACCCCGGCGGCGTCCGACTACCCGACCCCGGCGGCGGTCCACCGCCCAACCCCGGCGGCGTCTGACTACCCGACCCCGGCGGCGTCCACCGCCCAACCCCGGCGGCGTCCGACTACCCGACCCCGGCGGCGTCCGACTACCCGACCCCGGCGGCGTTCACCACCCGACCTCGGCGGCGTCCACCACCCAACCCCGGCGGCGTCCCACTACCCGACCCCGGCGGCGTCCCACCACCCGACACCAGCGGCGTCCACCACTCGACTCCGGCGGCGTCCACCACCCGACCCCTCCGGCACCGCTACACGACCCCGGCGGCGTCCACCACTCGACCCCGGCGGCGTCCACCACCCAACCCCGGCGGCGTCCCACTACCCGACACCAGCGGCGGCCACCGCCCGACCCCGGCGGCGTCCACCACCCGACCACTTCGGCGTCCACCACTATCGTCCGTGAGTCACACATCCGATACATCCGAGGCAGCATGAGTTGTCCGCCCCACCCATAACAAGCGTGGTTCCCCGCACTCCGACAACCGGCGCCATGCTCTCCTGCTGCGTCACGTTACTCAGCCGTATCGGTGCACGACGGGGCACCGACTGCGGCGCCCCGCCGGCCGGCCGCGCCGTCCCCGCCCCGCCCCGGACCGCCTGCCGACGGTGCGCCGGGAGTCTCACCTGGTCGTCGTCGTTGGCGGCGGCGGCGGCGGCGGCGCCGGCGCATACGTGCCCTGCGTTTGGTCCACCGCCATGGCCAGCACCGAGCTGAGGTCGGTGAACGGCACGCCGGTGGATTCGAGCCGCTGCTTCAGCACGCGCTTGACGGCCTCGCGCGCCACGCCCAGCTCCACCGCCGTCTGGCGGGAGGACGAGCTCGGTGTCAGGGCCGGTCGCGGGCATCGCGGCGCCACACACGCACGACCGGACTCGGAGGCGATTCAGGGTGCGACTGCAGCACCCTACGATCGGGCAGACATCACACTGAACCGAAGATTGAATCGCACTGAACCAACGATGAACCGATGACGATCGGGCGCCCCAACACGGACCATGACGTCACAAAGCGTTCAGCAGGACGTAGATCTAATCCATACAGTACACTACAGGTCTGAATAGAAGCTCCCCGCCCCATACCGACGGTCGCTGCCGCCAACTTGGCACGAGCCTGCGCACAGCACAAAAAGCGGCTCTTTCACATGTGACCAGGAGTACACCCGGAGCCCGCACACAAGTCGCCATCTGACACCCCGCCCCGCCGGCGAGCGCTGAAGGCGACGCACCTTGCAGATGGCGTTCTCCATCATCTTCTCGACCTCCTCGTCGGAGAAGGGGCACCGCTTGACGGCCGTGTCCGCCGGCGCCGCCTGCGGCACCGCCTCCTGCGGGTGTTCGCGCAGCACGTCCTGGATGAAGTCGTCGCCTTTGACCAGCCGCACGAAGCCGCAACGGCTGAACCAGCGCGCGTGCTCCGTCCACGGGTTGTCGCCGGGCACCCAGTTGCGCAGGCCGCCGTCGCAGTGGAAACACTTGACGTGGTCCGACACACCTGCCGACGACGAGAGGGAGGGCCAAGGCGTCAGTGGGCGCCAGGACTCGCTCCAGCCACCGGCCAGCACGGTCGGCGCTCGGGTGGACCAGGGCACTCGACAGAGTGGCTGAGGCAGCGCGTCGGCTGGACGGCCGGTGACGCTGGGCTTAGATGACAGTAAAGGCTGCAGTTGGGACGCGCGGGAACGGCACTGTGTCCAAACTTGGCACGCCGTGCCCAGAGGGGTACTTAGCTGGAGTGAGCCACGCCTAAGCGGGGCATAAGCAACCCACCATACAAAATTACCAATCCTGAATCCAAAGAACAGAGGGCAAGGGAGAAAGTTATCAGCCTTCAGCAAAAACGAAGATTCAACCCGTTTTTAGAGCCATTTGAACATTTACGCCGGCTCGAGCGATATCCATCTCAAATCTAAGGAAAACTTTTCGCCCATCCATATCACGTATCAGTGGAAATGGCTGTTGAGGGTCATGAGACGATTTGGATCATACTGTGCAATTTTAAGCTCAATCGGAGTAGCGGTGGTCAATGTATGGCCTTGGGGTACTTTGTTGAGATTTACATGCCAAACAGCCATCCTTAGTGGTCACTTCTTGACACAAATGGTTGAAGCATAACATAAACGGACACGTTTCGATTCGCCTTGAAAAGATACATTACTTGCAAACTTTATAGATTTGTTCTTTTCCTTCCCACCTTATGCGACCTTAGGTGATGCAATGAGATCTGGGATGAGAAGGGGGAGGCAAAATGCGTTTTTTTTTTTAGGTAAAATGGACCACCACTATCGCTGGCTTTCGATGACAAAAATTAATGGATGGATCCCTCCTACAAGATTGATTTGAGAACTACATAGGAATGAAGAAATGTATCGTAGAGTCCTATAGATCGTTTCAATCAATAGGTTTGGAAAAAACTCATTCCCATTTTATGGATATCAACCGTCAAAGACAAGTAGTTCTCTAGCTAAAAAACGAATCTTTTCACGAGGACCTTCTAAGCTCAGCATTTCACAGTTCCCTGGAGTCTTTTACCCAGTCGTACACGGTTCCTAAGACCATACATGTTGATGAGGTGAACGAATAAAATCCGGCCAATGACTAATTTCCTCAGAGTATCCCAAATATCTAACTTTATCATATACCGCCTATTTCATTGCAATATAAAAATCCCCAAATATGACCATTTAGCATGAAACCTTTCGAGCATTTCCGAGGTAATAGTTGGTCATCTACCTCAGAGCGAGCTAAAAATTACACGGCACCGTTCAATGCACATAAATGCCTAGCAAACAAACTGAAATCAGCATGGATCAGGGTATAAACGTGTCATTGTATCAGTGCATTTCTTATGAAATTCCCGCAAAGGTCAGAGAATGTCAAAGTTGTTTTAGCTGTGTCGGCATTAATGTTTGTGTCAGCGTATTTTCTTTTCAGCTTCTCCAGCTACGATGTGCCAGAATTTTCCTGGTCGCTCTGCAGCTTAGCGACATTGCTAAAAGTTCACGATGCACTTGGGTCCCGGTGCTACCCAAATCTTCCGTACCATAAGGCTAACAATATCGACAAGCTGCAAAGCGGCTAGAAAACTTGGGCCCACCCACCGGGTCCGCAATCTATGGCGAACCAAGGAGCCAAGGGGTAAGCCGCCAGCAAATTCTGGGAAGCCCAAGGTTGAGTGGCTGAATAACACAAACTTACCCAAAAAGGTCAAAGGACTTAACGTCTGCCTTTTATGAGAAAGCCATCCACGATTTCTTCATCAAGAACTAGTCAGTGCGACTCCACTCTGAGCCCAAATACTGCGCATGTTCCATCCATCGCGTCACGCCCCGCCGAGTAATGGAATGCCACAGCACACACTGTTCAATGAAAATGATACAGCTTGAAATCACACACCACGAGGCCAACACAGTATGGTTTTTCGTCAATCCTTTCGACAAGTCACAAACAAATATGGTTGAAATGAGTGCCAACGCGTTCTGAGGGGACGTCTCGCGACAGCAGACGGCGAGAGACGCGCAGCACCGGACACGACTGCAGGACGAGAGGCCTCCCGCTGCCGGCTGACTAGAGGGACGCGGAGCGCATGTTTTTTGGGGGCCATTAGCCGGCTGCGGCGCAGTTCCCCGCCCCCGCCCCCGGTGGGGAGGGGGGGGGGGGGGCAGGGAGCCGCCAGTCGTCGGTCACGCCCCGTCCCCGGCCCGGGCACGAGGCCAGATCGATGGCGGCAGAGTCGGCCACCCTGTGCCTGTTCTCAGGAGCCACCGCGTCAGGGAGCCGGCGCGCCCAAACGCAGCCGAGCCCCGTTTTAGAGGCCACAGTGGGACCAGCGTTGACCAATGTTCGGCAAACGCATTGAAGGACGCCACTGCGGAATTCGGGTTGGACTTTATGTTGGCGAGCTTCCGCGAAGCCCGGCCGCGGCCTCCAGCGCCTCCCTGAGACCCGGCTGGCGACACTTCCACAAACTCCGCGCGGGTGACTCACCTACCAGCGGCCGGGAACGGCGGCCGGCGCGCCCGCCGCCAGCACGCGACGTCATCGTACGTGGAAAGGGCGGGGGCTCGTGCGGGCAACCGGCCGAGCATGTGCGTCAGCAGGGGGCCATCTCGTCCGGCCGCGGTCTGGGCTCAGTACGCGGTCTGTCGGGCTGCTCCCGCCTCGGGGTATATTAATACCAATTTTAGATATCTGGCGTTGGCGGAAATGTGCGTAGTCAGTGATCATTAACCTACTTAAACGGATTTTAGTGTTGCATGGAGATGACCCCACTTCACAGCATTTATAAATGAATCTCCACAGGCTTTGGCAAAAACAAGCAACAAGGGCAGTACTGCAAGATGCCACACACTGGAATTTAGAGGTCCCTTATAACTGGACCCGGACATGCTATATCACGAGCAGGTAAATCCAAACCAGAAATGGATGGGCACCTGCCCACCAAATTGCAATGTATCGCAGAATGCCGACACCAGTGGATGAGGTCCTGTAGCAGGGTTTCAGCCACAAATGAAGCCTATAAATGTCGCCAGCAATGCCCGCCGCAAGCCCCGCGGGCTTTTGAAGCCCGCATGCTGCGGGCCTGCCGCCCTGACTACTTGAATGTACGCGCAGACTAAAATGAACCCATCAGGTCAGTCAGTGGCCTAATCATACCTGAGACATTAAGGCGCTTTTCTGCGATATTCAAGGGCCGATGTATTAATAGACTGAAGCGGGTTAATACCACGCTTACAGCTATCCCCGATGTCAGTCCACAGGGCAAAGCCATCCCACGTTTTGTATGGATTTACAACTCAGATCATAAAACTGAACACCCGCTTTTGGCACACTCGACCGATGCTAGGCAGAAAACAAACACCAGCAGCCCTGGCCATCTGGCCATGGTCTCGTCCCGCTGCGATGGCATCGCTGTCCTTTGTCCGCGGGCGTTCTCCCGACTCATCGACCGAAGAGAGGGGGCGGGGGGGGGGGGGGAGGCTACGCCCCGCAGTGTCGCACCGACAATGCCCCAGAGCTAGCCAGAGCTAGCCAGAGAGGTGGCAGCGTCATGCTACTCGACTACAGGCCTCTAGTGTAAGGCTGAGGCGACGCCTCGCCTCTCCTCCCACGTGTTGAGATCAGTCGGCCTCGGGCGCTTCATCTGTCCGCATCTCCGCGCGCCGCGCTCACCGCAGGTCAAAGTGTGCACCGGGCAAAGGTCAAGGCAGCTTGCACTCCGTGAACAGCAGCCATCGAGTCAGAGCTTAACCGGCATCAGTTTATCGCGACCGGTTCTTCACGCCCCGGCTAGCTCTGCCGAAGCCTGTGACGCACCGCAGGCCGCTCGTTGGTTTGGTCCTCGCACTACAGCGCGACAAGCCACACGGCGCAATCTGCTTCGTCACGCCTTACTCCTCACGCAGTCCAATGCTTCACGAGGCGTTATGCTCCCCAGTGCGCCATGCTTTGCCATACGTAACGTCCCGGTGCGTACGCCGTCCTGCATAGCGGCGTCCCCGCTATCCGTTAAGCCAGTGTCCTGTTTAGTTATTAAGCCAGTTCCCAGTTCAGTTATTAAGCCAGTTCTCAGTTTAGTTATTAAACCCTTTCCCAGCTCAGTTGTTAAGCTAGTTCGGCGCTGCGCTCCGTCCCGGCCCGGCACACGACGCCGGTTCCGCGACATTGGTGCTGCAGCAAACACTCCAGCCGGCACCAGGGATGCGACATCACTTCGGCTGTCAATATTTATACACCAAATCAGCCCTGCACGACGAGGCATTCACTTCCAAAGCTTATATCCGCCGCTACTTCTTCAGCAAAGCGTATTACAAGGGAACCACAGCTGGACAATACTGCAACTTGCTGTCCGTGGTGCCGGTTATGACATTTTGACTGATCGGTCATGCTTGGCGTATGAGTAAGATTGGCTGTGGTATCGTTCGCAGAATCTCAATTGTGGGTATGACTTTCCAAAGCTTTTTTGTCGCGAAGCACTCAAGCCTTATATAAGCCACCGCAGTAGAAGCTCGTCGCGTGTTGGTGACCACCAGACCAAGGATGTAGTTTCATATTTCGTCCGGGACCCCTTCCACCCGTCATCTGTGATAGTAAGGTGTGCCACATCCGGGGCAAACCCTGCGTTTTATGTACTTTGAGGCCGTTTTGACCGTTTTTTCCCGCTCAGCCCCAAACCTGTTAGAGCCAGCGCCGTCATTGGTCTGTCGGTTCCAGTACGTGCCGCAGCACTAATGTATCGACATCATGGAGTGGACACCCCAAGTGGGATTTCATCCGTCCAAGCGCTCCCATGTGTCCACTGCCTCTGGGATCTCGGTGAAGCTTACCATGTTACCGACGGGTAACCTCGTATCGTATGGCGGAGATTTCTGGTATAGCACTGGCAGTAGACGCAATGCCACTTATAGGTACGGATACTTTTGCAGCAAACATAATTACGCGTACAAGTTGCAATGTGTAGCTCTTAGATCGTGTCCAAGTCTTTGCAGTAAAATTAATGTCACGAGTAAATGAAATCTGAAAAAGCTTGTTGGAGTGAAGAGCCATACCGTAGCACTCCCGTCGGCAGGGGTTTCTGCCGTATCCCAAACGTCGTCATCCACGGCGCCGTCGCTGACCTGCGTAGAAGAAGCCGGCCTCGGCCAGCTGGAGCGGCTTCTGCGCCAGTGCCGGCGGCCAGAACTGGTAGCTGCGCAGGCGCGACTCGACCGTGGCGTAGGCCGGGTGGATGGGGCCATGGTGTTCCGATATGCCCAGCTGGGCCAGGTCCTGCGTCTCTGCCGAGCCCTGCGGCGTGCGCACGTTCATGTGCGTCGACGTCAACCGCGTGGAGAAGCCTGCCGGCGGGGGCGGGGGCCTGGGTCAACGAGAGGGGCATGCGTCCTCGCCGAGGTGGCGTGCTCCCCACCGGGTGGCGGCGGCCAGTCACAGCGGTACAGTCACAGACATGGTCATGCTTTTCTCATGTGTGTGAATGCTGATAGACAAAGGGAGGGTTGTGCATATTTTGAATAGAAATCGCGATAAGCATCAAGCACAAATCATTTAACATTTGGATCTATGCAATCAGGATCAATTCAACATTGTGGTCCACATTACATGGAAAGCCCATGCCTCACACTGTGACAATCTGTGCTGCCAACTGTTGAAAATTTGGTCGCAGGACGTGGAACAACTCTGAACTACGCATAATTCGTCCTGCTCGGCGGGATCTGAGAAGTATGGGCCGTTTTTTAATGAAAGAACAGCTCAATTTTCACACACAAAAAACGCGCCGCACACGCACGAAATGTCGTGCATGCCGTAAGACATCGCACGTTTTACCTGCGCATACTGTACACGTTTACCTCGATTTTGTTGGTGTCGACATTGAGCCGTCTGCATATATACATTAATTTAATAGCACGGGGGAGGGCGGTCGGGCGGGCGGATGCATATTACCCATTACCCCACATTTTATACCTGACCGTCATTTCACGCCTCTTTTGGAATATTTAAACCCCCGCCCTAATCGGGGGGGGGGGGGAGGGCGATGTGGCACCCAAGGTTTTTTAGGATACCTCTCCGGCACGTCATGCTATCTCGCCCGAATTTTCAGCAGCCTATAGGGCATTCGTAACGTGTTTTTAAACCAAAAACATGACTCTAAAACTTCTGGTTTCGGCGCAGCGGCGGTTTTTTGGGAACACTGCACGGAGATCTACGGCCGGCGCGGGCGGCGGACGGCAACCGACGTTGACGGGGATCGCGCGCGGCCGGCGAATATTGCTGCACTAACGGAGCCATATGTCATACATATATGCCCGAAACACACAAAGCTACATACCATAGAACTTATATTTAAGCACGGAACACGCCTGTTTAGTTTTGTGTCGCTGCGAGGCTTGGCCTTGTACATATGAGCAAGCAAAGCTGGAAAAGTTCTATTTTCGTTGAGATAAGACGGCACTGATAACCGCATTCCTGGTAGAATAACCAGGAGAATGGAGAAAAACGTGTACTGCTAATTCGGCTACATGCCTTTATCGATACGAATATCAGTAGTACATTAAAAATTGCCTGCCGATCATACTGGATTTTTCAGTTGCGTTTCTTCGACAGCGAGCCGCAGCTTTTCAAGTCACCAACAGTTGGGAATTGAAGGAGCAATTGCCAGCAACCACCACGGTGGCTGGCAAGAATCAAAACACGTAAAAAACTTGCGCACATGCAAACGAATCCTAATAAACAGGCATCACGCGTCAGACGCCACTCGCACATGCAAACGACTTTAAGCCGGCACGCATCGCACATTTAGGTGCTAATCACCATCTCGTAACTGGCCATGATGAGCCCTGTACGTTAAGGTCTGGTGACCGATTTCCATTAAAAATGGATTTGCTTGTTATCCTGTCTGGATGGTTCTGGCTCTAAAGATGACTTCAAGCTCTAATAGGGGTATAGAGTGTATAGGGTAAAGCTATGTGTACGCATAGTTTAGAACGGTAAGATAAAACAGCATCTGGTGAAATATGCTATCTCAAAGCCAAGACAATATTGCGTGTAAACGGTGTAAAGAAATATGAGAAGGGCATTGTCTATGTCGGGAAGTCCATGCACCCTATTCGTTTGAGATATAATGAACACCTGCGAGACGCTAAAAACAGAACAGGACATCCCTCTCGGCGGTCCTTTTTTGACAAAACACATTCAGGCTAAAATCAAGGGAGGTACGAGCACTGCAAACCTTTTGGAGCTCAAAGTCATCTACAGAGCACAGGATCATCCAGACAGGAAAACAAGTGACTCCATTCCTATACAAAGTCGGCGACCAGACCTTAACGTCCAGGCCTCATCATGGCCGACTACGCGAATGTGATACACGTCTTGATGTGCGATGTGTGCTAGCTTTGGGTCGCTTGCATGTGTGAGTGGCGTCCGATGCGCGATACGTGATGCCTGTCTAATTGACACGTTGACATGCATGGGTGATACATGGTGCGTGAAGCCTGTTTACCTGAATTCGTTTGCATGTGTGAGTGATCTATCCATCTCTGCATTCTCCTGGTTATTCTATGAGAAATAAGGCTATAAGCACACCTAAGAAATAAGGCTATTAGCACAAGGCTACTAAAACATCTCATTACCAATCACGAGATATCGTTGATACCAATGCACTGGCATTTTCCTGCTAGGTACCATCAGACCCCGTTATGAAAACCTGGAGGTTGGGTAAGGCTGCATCTAAGGTTAAGGCTGCATCTAACGTTAAGGCTGGATCTAAGGTTAAGGCTGGACCTCAGGTTAAGGCTGAACTTAAGGCTAAAGCTGGACCATAGATTAAAGCTGGATTAGTGAGATTGTCCGCTCCATCCCCACCCAGTTAACAGCATTCCAAACTAGTCCCGTCAGCGCCACACCTGCGCATTCCGCCAAAGCCAACCCGTGAGAGCCAGCAGCCTTGAAGTTGGGAGCACTCGAGAAAAAAAAAACAGCTCGACGCGACTTCATTCCCGCCGGCAGACGCGGCGCGTGGGCTAACGTGCCGCGGGACCGACAAACGAGCGCCGCCACCCACGGCCCCCGCCGTGCCTCGTCCCACTCGCGGCGGCTTCGGCTGCCCACGCCCGGCTGCCGCGCGAGGTCACCCCTCTCCCTTGGAGCGGGTGTTAGTGGATATCCAGTGGACGCCGCTGGGGTTGTAGGAGTAGGTGGCTGAGTGGGAGGGGGAAGGGGAGTCAGCCGCGGCACCCGCCGAACCACCGCGGCAGCCCTGCGCGATCGAGCCGAGGCATGAGAGGCCCTCGCCGCCGCTGGCGATCACGGGACCCCGTCCGTGCGCCGCTCCGTTGGCCCTGACGGCCCATACGGCCGGCGTGACGAACAACGTCGCGACGCCGCTGCGTCATCCTGCTGACGTCATCACAAATGAATGACAGGAGCGGCAGATTGTCCGTAGCGCCGAGCCCAGCCCGGCCCCGCGCCCTTCAGCAAACAGGCGCGGTGCTGAAACGCGGACTGTTTCCGGTCCGTGTTGACGATAAGTTGTCGCGCAAGTGAGTAACAGGCTACATTGCACACGTCCCAGGAAACCGTGAAATCTAATCAGTAAGCCCACACCGCTTGCAAGCCCTTACGAACACGCAGAAAGCGCGCTGCATTCAGCTCTGCAGCTGGCTGGGTACCAGCAGACTATCCGCAACGACTCTGATAGCCAGTGATCTCCCACCCGGAGCGCATACGGATCTCCAACTCCGAGCCCCGGCCGTCTCTCCGGACGCCGGGCTGGCGACGGGCCGCATTCCGGCCACTCTAGGCGGCCATTGCGGTCACCTTGGGCGTGCGGCTTGGAATCCGGCGGCGGCGGCGCCGGCGGGCTGCTATCGAGCCGCTCGGCCGCCGCCCGCGATAGGTCAGCTGCGGTGGAGTCACGCGGGCGGGAGAGACGCCGACGCTGCTCCGTGCAACTGGGGAGCGACACCACGGGCGGCCAGCCGCCCGGCCGCCGCCCGCGATAGGCCAGCCGCGGTGGAGTCACGCGGGCGGGAGAGACGCCGACGCTGCCCCGTGCAACTGGGGAGCGACACCAAGGGCGGCCAGCCGCCACCTCGTCCCTGGCCCGCTGTTTCCAGCGCTGCCGGGACCCAAACAATCGCAGGGCATGGAGGCGGAGTCACGCGACCGGCTCAGGCAGGCGACGACTGTCACGAACAGCGGGCGTAACAATGCCGCCCGCGGTGCGCGGCGCCCTTCTGTGACTTTCCTAGTCCCACGCATAACATGGGTGGGGCGCCCCCCCCCCCCCCCCCCCCAGCATTCGTTGCGTGATGAGCCCAGCGAGCCAAATCGGTGTTCTCTACGGGCATAATCCGTTCATGCGTAGCACTCGGTAGCATCATCCAATGCGCAAACATGCAGCGAATGAATGCGATTGCGATCGCGATGACCTAAGTCGCGACCTATGACCTATGTCGCGATGTCGCGATCCCCTACGACAGGGCCAGCAAAACGAAACACAACTTAACCTTGTCGTGAATTGCAATACGGGTATGGAATCGACAACGGTGCGCACAGCGTGCCAGTCTACCCTGCGCCGCGGTTGTGCACCACGATATACGCACGCCGCTGGTAACCGCCGTCACGCCACGCCCTCGGAAGCCTCCCTGATCAACACCGCGCGACGCAGGTAGTCGGAGCTGCGCGATGCTGACGGAGAGAATCGCTGAGCTAAACCCAGCAGCAGCGGCACGGCTGGCCGCTGGGCGTGATGACCCAGGGGGACGGCCCCACAGCAGATGGGTCAAACTGCAGCCGTTCTGGGGACAAGGTGGTCGCCTGGCAGTCCCCATGAACCGCCGGGCCGGGCCTCCGCAGGCGGCTGCAGCGTCGGGCTTTCACCCTTCGCGTCCCCGACGGCTGAGGAGAGCGGCGCGCACAGACCGGGTGGCACCCCGCCTCCCTCCCGCACTTAAGACCGCCCCTGCCCGGGTCACGGGGATCAGTATCCGCGGGAAACCAGCGCACAGATCGGCGCCGGCCGCGGTGCGGCAGGTGCAGCGCGCCGCAAGCACGGAAGGCCGGCCACCGTTGGGTTTTTCCCACCCGCGATTATTCCGACGCCAGACCTGTCCCCAGTAGCCAGCGCCCACGCAGTGATACGAACTGGGGCCACGCTCCCCAAATAGGGATATCTGTGACCACAGAAACGTCATCCCAAAGTGTCACAAGCGCAATAACATACGTAATGCTAAATTACGGAGAAGCGCGAGCAGGGAGCAGACAAATTTGAACCACGTGGCCTACGGGCGCGATGCGCACCGCCGGACGCAGCCTGCGTTAAAAGAGACGTGCCCGACATCCAAAGATCACGGAAGGCATCGGGCCAGCCCACACACCGCACACCCCACATCAGGCAGCCCTGCTCGAGCCTAGCCGTTATCTGCTCGGTTGGAAATACCGAGATAAGTGACGAGTGGCTGTGGGCGGACCGCTGTCGACCGGCGTCCGTTCATACCGGACAAGGAGCTCTATAATGACGCCGGCCAAAGTTCTTTGTTTTTGTCGCGCTTCCATCAATGGGCAGGAGTAAAGACTTTCTACAATGTGTAATGACAGCCGTGAACATTAAGCCCACGGGGGCCGAGCGCACCCTATAATAGCTATTTATAACTTTCCTAAACGCCAGATTTCGCCCTTTGGGTCAAATCAAGAATGCTAGTAACCAAAAACATCGACAAGCGACTCCCGTGAGAAAACATCTTAGGTCGTTTCGGAGAAACCAATGACAAATACACATAACTGCAACAACATCGCACGCGTTGCATGCACGGGTCAGTAAAAAAAAGAACCGGCATGCAAAAAGTCCCCATTGAAAAATGCATCCCTGCCCCACCGACACGAATTTCTGAAGAGACCCCGCGACGCGGGCGCACTCACCGGACTCGGGCACGGAGCGCGTCCTGAAGTCCACCCTGTAGCCGACCTCGTCGACGCCGGGCGGCGGCGGCGGCGGCTCGTCCAGCGACTCGTCCGTGTCCGAGTCGCTGTTGATAGGCACGTTGCCCACGTCGCAGCCGCGCACGAATGGACACTGCGGGAAGTGGCGACCGTGCTCCGTCATGGGCACGTCGCCCGCCTCCCAGTCGCCGACGATGCCGCGGCAGAAGATGCACTGCGCCTTGTCGCCGTCGTTCAGGCTGAAGAAGCCGGCGCGCGCCAGCTCGGCAGGCGACACAAAGTCGAGCGGCCATGTGTCAGCGAACGTCCGCAGCCGCTGGCGCTCGCGCAGCAGGAAGGCGAAGTTGTTCCAGGTGCGCGGCCCGCCGGCCGAGCCGCCACCCGCCACGGCCGGAAACCGAAAGCCCGTGCGTGGGCTCGTGGACGCGGCGCTGCTGCCCTGCGAGCTCGGCGGCGACTGACTGCTGCTGTAGCCGCTATCGTGCGGCGGCAGCGAGCGCGGCGCGCTCTCCAGCTGCGGCACGTTATCGGAGCGGTTCGTCACGAACGGGCACGCGGGGAAGAGCTGGCGGTGCTTGAGCATCGCCTGCTCGTTGAACTGCCAATCGTCGACGCGGCCGCCGCAGCTGAAGCACTCGACGCGGAACGGCGACGCCTTGAAGAAGAAGCCGGCCTTGGCCAGCCGCTCCTTGGGCACGGGCGCGTCCAGCGGCCAGCTCGCGAACGTGGCCAGCCGGTTCTTCTCGTAGCGCATGCTCTCGGCGTCGACTGCGCGGCCCTGGATCGATCCCCGGTTTGGCGCCATGTCGTTTGTGTTGGGGCGCCGTAGCACCAGGTGGCTGGTCATGCGGCCCACCGCACGCTCAGCACAGATGCATCGCGGACATAGTGTGGCACATAGCTGGGGGTGGCTTGACAGAGCTGGAGACTGGTGGCAGGGTATGTTGCAGCTGGGTGTGGAGCTTTGGGACTCTTGTACTGAAATAAAATGTATTCATTTTCAGATCACACTTGTGTCAAGAGATAACTGATGACAACAGCAAGTCCATGCAACCATACATCATAAATCTATGCATCACCCACAAAATATTATGTGTTGAGAAAAATAACACACACTGTCAACAGGCATAAACATTAACTGAAACCAAATTGTGTAACATACCTTGACATTGTATATGCACCCAGCTTACATCAATGTGAAGCAATCCAGAATTCATATTTGCCACCCAGGTATCATACTCCAAAGTCCACAGGGTCACACTGCACTTGTTTCTGATGTGAGTACATGTTTGAGGAATGACAAATACCATGTGATAAGGTAATTTTCTATGCTACTCCAAAAGATCCTTTGTTCACTTTCATTCGCTTCTGAATTACTTCATTTCCTGGCCGCACTGAGCTGAGAACCATTATGTCCCATGGAAGCAGTTGACTGAAAAATACCCCAACCTTGACCACAAGCATCCCTCCTTATTCTGATGCACCTTTTTCTATTTACAGCAACCTAAGCTGCTCAACGAAATACACAACAGACTAACACCAACCACAGGTTGGCACTACCTAACATTATTTCTCATCGAGCTGGCTCCATATAAACACATCTGAATTTGCAAAATTAAAATGGTACTACCGGAGTATGTGGTTAGAAACGGCATAACTTTTAGCATAAGCAGCAGACATAACTGAAACACATAGCAGATAAAGTAACTGTTTTCACTTGTGGTTGGCCACTCAATTTAACATCATGCCAAATTGATGGTGAAAGTAGCATTGTTCAAAATTAAGTCACATCTTCCTTTTACAGCATATCAAAGACCAGCACCAAAATAAAATGAACACCAAAACCATGATCATTAGCCCAGAATCTATGGTATTTGTTATTTCAAAAAGTGGCAGTGAATGGAAACTTACTGCCCCAAGTTAGACAATGACCTTGAAACTTGAGTCGCAGATGCTCCTAAATGCCTGGTTATTTAGAAAACATCACGCTGATGTGCGCCATGGCATGCACGCACTTAAATAATGCAGCCCATCTACCAATAGAACCGCGTAGTTGCACGTCAAATGTAACTAAAAGTGGACGCCAGTAGTCCATGGAGCGGACAGATGCAACATGCACATCCCTCACCTTTGTTTCGAAGTCCTCAGCGCGGGATGTCTTCCGGTGACAAATTTGCCACACCTCGAAATCGATATCGGATTTGCAGAGGAACCCGATCGCCGCAAACCAGATTGAAGTCCACCCCACCCCAAAACTCCAGTAAAACGCAACCACACACCCAGCGGACCCCTACGACGCAGACAACGGTTTGACTGCCCGATGGACCCCAACGGCCTTATCAAGGTTAGTGAAATCTGGGCGTGACATTGCGCGATTTTTCTCCTATGGAGGAGTCTGAATATGACGTCACTGATACCGAAGAAGATAGGTTGAAATATGTGACCTAAGGCTCATTTCTGCCGATGACTGAGACCAGGCACACAGCCTACGAAGAAAGGTGAGAGGAGGACAGCCTGCCTGTGTCCTCTCCGACCCAGTTTGTTTGCTTTTCACCACAGATAGCTCCAGACAGAAAATTAAAAATCGGCGTGATGCGTTCTCAACGAGCTCCGCACGCTTCCCTTCTCTCCTTGAGGAAATCCTGACTGTGTCCCGGTTTAAAGATAGTATCCACATTTTCATGTGATTTTGAAGGAAAATAGCTGCTTTGAAGACCATCTCGTTCAGTTCACAGCCCTGCCCTTCCTAAGCCTTTCAACGCTCTCGCTTCTGAACTACACCCCCACGAAGATGACAAGGCTTTTTCGTGCAGACTAGTTTTAGGTCATTCTGGCATGCATGACACCGTAGAAACATCATCAAATTGTTTCACCGCATGGTTCATACGGTATTCAAGGCCAAGAAGAATATAATCATCAAATCGTTCATATATCTGGCATTCAGGAGCACCACTTCCAAATAAAGCGAAAGTAAACTGAATTTAAAACAATGTTGAGCGAGCTGCACAAGTTTTAATCACGAGTTACGTTTTGTGCTTCATGATATAAGACATTGGGCGTAAATGTTAGTTACTACGGAACTACTACTTGTAATCGAATGCCGTAGCTTCATAACCAAACATGGAAATTCAAGTTAAAACCTTAAACTCACGAATAAATATGCAGGAATAACACGGTTCAGGAAACACCTTAAACACGCATTTATATTCCAATAGATGGAAAAACGTCACAGGTGAAGAAATGTGTTGCAAAGCTGTGAATTCTTTTTCATGTTCTTGAAATTTAAATTGGCTGGTTTTTAGGATGGTGAAGAGTTCCCTGCCCTTTGAGCGTGAAGTCGAACTTGAAGGGCGACCTTGGGAGCCATGATTTTTTGCGTTCGTAATTTGTGTAGGCTGATTCATGCGCTATTGGTTGTTCTTGTGCTCCAAAGTCCGTAATCGACCGATATTTTGAGGTGATGTCAAGTTTCTCGTTCTCTGAGCCTGAAGGTGGCCCTGAGGGGTTACCCTGAGGCGTCGCCTGCTTATGGCAACGCTGAAGCAACCTGATTTTCAGGAATATTTTATAAGTTACTCGATCTAGTGGCGTTAAGCAGCAACATACAACTTGTTACAACACGTGAGATCTCGTTGAGAACAATCCACCGTTGTTTTTTTAAGTGAGGATCTACAATCTTTGGTTTGAAGGTGCCAGGGACTCTCATCAGTCCCCGATCAGTTCGCGTTATAAAAAGGCGAATCAGGGCAAAAGTAACACTTTTGGCTATTATCCGTTTTATTCATTTCACAGATGCTGCTGTAACAAATCCGCATTTCAGATCATGGAAAAAATTCACTGGTACATCAGGATGGCACATTTCATAACGAGCATGCACACATTGGTACGGAGATTTGATCAGCAAGCCAAAGTAGTCCTTTGCACACTAAGTAAGTAGTAAATTATCTAGACACACCTGTGGTTGTTATACATGATGCAGGAGTGTCAATTCAAATGATTTGGGGAGGGTGGGGATATTTGTCATTTTTGAAAGTTGTTTGAGTAATACAACAGGAAAATACCGGCAGCCTTTAGTTAATTTTTTAGGGAAAATGTGAGGCTAGTGTACTCAAGTCAGTCAATTTTTGTTATTTTTTGTAACTGATGGAAATTTTCCTGTGTTTTTAGTTTTTTGTTTGTATATGAAAAGGAGTGCTAACTAACATGCAAAATTATCATATGACCACAGCGCACATAACCTTGGATGCTCAGGTCATGACCTGTTTCTGCAGGTACGTTCTGCAAAACACATGCTGAGCTCAAAATAGCAAGTTTTACAATGATTTTGGACGCAGAGTTCGAATGTACTGATGAATAGATGTAATATCATTATAATGCGTAATGAGGTCACAATAGATCACGTGAGCATACGCAAGGTCATATGAGGTCATCAAAAGTCATTGACCTATGTTACCAGTAGCGGAGAGGCTAGATAAACGAGTGCGACGGGTGTAACCGCCTCCTCATCCTGCTTATGAAGCTGATGACGTGTAATATGTGCCAACGTACCTGTTCTCAATTTGTTGTAAATTCATTGTTAGGCATCGAAGGGGCTAAGGAACTTAACGCGAGGTGCATCGCAGCCGGCCGAGGTCGGGCCGCCGGCGGCTGCTGGAGGCGCACCACGACCTTCCGGCGTCGGGCCGCCGGTGCCTTGGGACGCTCATCGACGCGCCGGCGACTCATAAGGTTGTATAGACGGTGCTGCTCTGGCGCCAGCTGTCCAGATGTGACCGGTGACACGAGGCTCAGACTCTTCCTGGCGAGGGTCATGGCTGCTGCCTCGCCCTCCGCCCGATCGGACGGGGGTGCCCCGCCCGGAAAGCGTAAGGTCCACTTAAGTGTCACACGTATTTCACGGGCCTAATGGCGACCGGAAGTGAACTTTTAGGGTATCCGGCTCACTTCCGGTCTGGGACGGGCGGCGCCGGTAAGCGAGGAGACCGGCGCCGGTGAGCGAGGAGACCGGCGCCGTGCTCCGCGAGGGGTAGCGTTGTCTGCTTTCCGGCTTGTTGAAACCATGTTACATTCATTGTTTACCAGACAAAAACCAAATAAAGACGCGTGATGTGCGGTGTACCTGCGCGGCGGTCTCCACTGCTCTGCACAACACTGTCATTGTACTGTCACTGAACGGCCAGGCCACTGTACCGTCACTCAATTGTCACTGTAACGTGCTGAATGGAGCTTTTCACGGGTACTATTTCCATACCGGCAGGGGACCACACCCACAGCCTGCAGGGTCACATGCAGGGTAGGGTAGGGGTGGGGGGGGGGGGAGGTGATTCAGAGGACACGAACCCCCTCTGGACTGGGGATCACGGGCTCGATTGGATTGTCCAAAGGGTGAGAACAGAGCTCGTTAGCGGACTGCAGTCCGCACGCCCAGGGCCCTCGAATGACCTCAAGAGGGCCCTAAATGGTCACGCCGAAGACGCGCTCCTGAACACTAGATATCATCGCGGTTGACATGCCCCTGAACATTAAATATCATCGCGGTCGGCGAGCCCCTGAACACTAAGTATCATCGCGGTCGACGAGCCCCTCAGCACTAAATATCATCGCGGTCGACGAGCCCCTCAGCACTAAATACCATCGCCGTCGACGAGTCTCTGAACACTAAATATCATCGCGGTCGACGAGCCCCTCAGCACTAAATATCATCGCGGTCGACGAGCCCCTCAGCACTAAATATCATCGCGTTTGACGTGCCCCTGAACACTACATTCATCGCGGTCGACGAGCCTCTGAGCACTAAATATCATCGCGGTTGGCGTGCCCCTGAACACTAAATTCATCGCGGTCGACGTGCCCCTGGACGCTAAATATCATCGCGGTCGCCGCGCCCCTGCACACTAAATTTCATCGCGGTCGACGTGCCCCTGAGGACTAAATATCATCGCGGTGGGCGTGCCCCTGAGCACTAAATATCGCGGTCGACGCGCCCCTGAACACTAAATTTCATCGCGGTCGCCGCGCCCCTGAGCACTAAATATCACGATTGCCAGTCAGATGCTCCGTTGCGCTGATTGGGGCTCCTCTGGGACAACCTGGGCGAGCCCTATGTCGGTCAGAGACCACCAATACAGACTGCTGGCCTGGGGGCTTCTTACTCAAGAATGGACAAGGCCTGGGCCCACAAATGTCAATCAGAAGGCCTCTTGCCCTGGTCCGGGCTCCTGTGGCATTGAAGGGCCTCTGATTCGTCAGGGAGCCCATCATTCCAGTGGAACAGTGGAGTTTGCGTCTGACGTGGGCTCTGAGTCGAGGCAATGAACCCACTGAAGCACATTTACTAAGTACGGACAAGGGCGGAAACCCGACTACCAGGCACCTCATGGGTTGGTTGGGGCCAGGAACGTACGCACATACTAGCTCCGATGGGCACGTGCCTCTCCATCACTAAATCTATGGTAGGCGTATGTACGTGACTAACGTGTTGATTGGATATTCCAGGTAAACACATACAGATAAGAAGATCCAAATGTTCGATCCTATTTCACGTCACGCAATCTATTTTGCATGCATGCGGCGCGCTAAACTTGGCATTCAGTGAATGCCTTTTGTTGCGGCCGCTGTGTCTGGCTTAGGAGCCTGATAAGCCCAACTGGGATCCCTGTGTCAATTATTAAACCCCCGTGTTGGTCAGGAATTCTTTTGCGTCAGTGAGGATCCCTGCGTCGGTCCAGGGTCAGCTGCTCCCGTTAGAGGGCCCCCTGCATCAAGAAGGGAAATAAATGCATCATGTACCCTTCTGAGATCCTACGGATCGACCAGATGGTCCTGTCCCCATCTGGTTAGAATGGTGTCCGGCAGGTACCCTAGGCTGGGACAGAAACACCCTTTAACCTGAGCGGGAAAAGGAACGGGCCACCTAGTGTTCTCCCCAGAGGGCTCCTGTACGCCGAAGATGGGAGGTCTCCTTAGTGCTCATTGAGAACACGGTCCCCTCACTGCAAAGACGCGTAGGCACAACCAGGTACAAGACGAAGGAAAGTGTTATCTTCGAAGTCAAGGTGATGAAATCCGGTGTTTTGCGTTTGTATGTGTGCATATGACGGCGTGGGCTTTTCAACGGGGCCCTTTTTAAGGTCTGTAGCCCACCCCACCCCTACTGACTAAGTTTGCTTGCGCCATGCACACAGGCTTGACCGTCCCCAACCGCTCACACACCCGTTTGAAATTTTGTACTCTATGTGTGCTGTCTCAAAATTGATTGCCTCTAAATCGACTGAACACTTATGACAACCAAGATCATGGCATCCAC